TTTTGACTTTACAAACATATAACAATAATAACATTCTATATTTATTTATGTGAAAAAAATTTAATTTTTCCATGTTTAATAAATAATATATTCTTAAAATACATTTAAACAATAACTAAAATTTAAATTAAAAAAAAAACTTTCCTTTTCATGCTTAAAAAAAAATATTTCAATGAAAACAGTCCTTTAGGTTTTTTTTTAAAGAATATTTTGGTTAAATGTGCTGTTCATTTTTGTCAAAAATATGCGTGGGTATTCAAGTATTGAACTGTTAAATAACCTAAATTTTTCTCACTTTTTTTATATTGCGCAACAAGCTAATTATCCCAAATACTATACAATATTAAAATTTTAATTTTTTACTACTAAATATTTTTCATAACATTTATATTTTTCAGAAAATGCCCCAAGATGTTGTTGAGCAGTCAATGGGAGCTGCCAACATATGCTTGTATATGTATGACAGTGCGCCCAGTGGTAGGTTCGGCACAATGGCCTACATGTGTCGGGCTCTGGCCAACATCATCAACCTGCCAGTTAATGCTGAACATACTTTAGAATGTTCCATTTGTTAGGATCAGCAGAATTTGATCTTATTTGATACTTCTTTCTATGAGAGGCCATGATAAGCAATGGTCCCCCCTATGTTGCACAATGTCTGCATGCATAAATATTTTATGAAATTATTCCCTCCCCAAATTAGCCACCAAAATAAGATTTCTCCTGTGCTGTGGTTTATTATTTTTGTGTGCACACAGCATAGAGGAAATATTTATACATTTTACTGTGTTAAAAAGTTCTATGTCATAATGTCCCCATCCCCTCTAATTGTAAGTTGAACCCAATGATGCTCTTATACATTTTTTTACATTTTTTTTTTAAAAACTTGTATGATGTGATATTTTCCTACTTTTATTATACTCGAAATTTAGAGAAAATAAACGTGGATGAGTCTACAAAAAGCAGATGGCCGAAGATAAAAATGGTCTATTTAGTTCAATCATGTTAAATTGGAATAAATAATAGATACTTTTAACACCGATCAAAAACAGTTCTAATTATACATATATTTAATTTTTAAATCACAGTATAGTATGAGTTTAACATTTGTTTTGTTAAAGATGAGGCAAAATAGTCCTATAACATATCAAAAAAATTAAATAACAAATTACAAACATGAGGCATGGCTTATAATGTTGATAATGAAATCCCCATAAACTAATATTATCACTCTTTGAACAGCAGACCCATTGTCACCTATTTTGAGCTTTATAAAACAAAGAATTGTATGGGTCAAATTAATGTTTTAGAACAGGCCTGCACAACTCAAAATGTAAGGCGGGCCGTAATACTTTATTAAAAAAACTTGTGCGGGCCAAAAGAAAGTAGGACAAGACTTCTGCGGGCCAAAAGAATATAGGTCATGGGAAAGCTATTAAGAAAATAATAATAATAAAAAATCTTTCGTTACTTCGCGGGCTGCAAAGTGGGTGCTGGCGGGCCACATGCAGCCCTCGGGCAGTATGTTGTGCAGGCCTGTTTTAGAATCATTATAAAAGATGGTCAGGCGACACAATTGAAAGCATTCTTCTCCCCTCACCCCTTTCCCAATCCCTGCATCTCCATTGGTTTTCCTTATGTAATATTCAGTTTATTTTTAAATAGGTCACAACTGATCTTGAGAAACAGTGTAAAGGGTTTAAAAGCGAGTAACCAAAAATTTAACTTTCTTATGATATTTTTTGTCCATTGAAATAAAATCTTGTATTAACACAAAACAAGATCAAATTTGACTAAGTGAAACTCATCTAAACTTGTGTAATTTCAATAACTTATTCCTCATTCTTACATTTTTCACATTGGAGTCAATAATCATATAATGTCCTATAAATTATTTCAGCTATGAGTTTTGGAAACCAAAATACATGTATTTATTTATTTTATTAATGTATTTTACTTCCTCTTTACTTTGATTCAGTAAGAGGGTTCATGGTTCACATCAAGGAAATCTCAACTAATAAATTTTAATACACATTAGTATTACAAGCCATATGCTTTTATTTTTGGAAAAGAGATGTGTCTTTCAAAGGCTATTCCTTACCTTTCTAAAAGTGTACAATATACAATACGGTTGTCCTATTTGTAAATGTCAAGAGCACAATCATGCATATTTTGATGTAGAATTTCCAGTATCACTCACAAAATCCTGAAAGGGTGTACATAATTTTACTGTGTCCATGTCTAGAATAGAGATTCTTAGAAGATAAGATAAAGTATTTTAGAGAGTCTGAAGTGCATTCCATGATCTCTTTAAGATATTTATGATAGATCCAAGAAATGTACACTTTTGTCCTGTTTGAACTATTTCTACACGGTTTTCACCCATTCTTTTTTAAGTTGTTTGCCAATCAGATACATTGTAATTGCTTGTGTTTTTTCAGTGGAATTACTCTCAATCTAGGCTACCAGTTAACAATAAAAAAGCAGTCTTACTATTCTGAAATTCTGAAAAGCCAAATTTGAATTATTATCTAAATCTTTCTAAGAAATGAGGGCCTGCATGATATTATCTTCCTTTTGTGGCTACACTTTGAAATAATTTAAAAAAGATTTTGCTTTTAGCCTTATTTATTTTTGCTAGAGATAGGGTAAGATTTAATAAAATAAAACTCTCATTTAGGCATATGATAATGATTAGCACAATCGGAATAATCTGTTCAAGTGGTCAAACGTGTGGGGAAAACTAAATGTCAGAAATTTCAAGACAAGGATTTTGTGCCAACATCTTTTACAATGTTTTATACTTTTTCAAGAACATTGTTTGTTAACTGCTAAATACCTTGTGTTCCATTGTTCGAAACAAAATAATAAAGCATATAAATTACAAGCAGAAAAAAAACAAAAAAACTCTTTTCTACCTTTTTATGAGTGAATAAGTAAGAGAGGCTTTAGATTACCTTCCCCTATTGAGTTACAAAGGTTATTGCTTTTTTTTTTTTTCAAAACAACCATATGTTAAAATTTTTAAAATAAAGTAAAATTGTATCTCGCAATTTGTTGTTTTTTATTTTTGAATGAAATTCCTATTTGTATGGAGAAATATTTAAATTTCACTCACTAACTGAAAACATTTACTCGGAGGGAATTCAAAGTCTGGACCCTAAGGACCATTTCAACTTGCTTGGGAAGTTTTGGCCGTTGAAAGATAAAATTACAGTATCCTTTGTGTGGGGTGTGGGTGTGCATGCAAAGGGCTGGATGGCACTCCCGGGCCTCATATTTGACATGCCTGCTGTGGATGCCCTTGGGCAGAGACAATTTTGGGGTACTCATTATATCTTAATGCATATCGACATAAAGAAAATTTGAACTACCAGTCAAATGTTTTTTAACTGAATAAAAAACTTTTTTTTTGTTTTTCAGTTTTTACCAGCAGCAATTTTTTAAAAATTTTTTCTTACTTAATATAATTATGATGTATATTCAAACTGTATATTTTAATCGAAGCCATTATATATATAAGATGTCGACTGTCCATTCATTCCTAAAACAACAATCACAACTTATCTCTCCTCTTTTTGCGATTTTCAAACTGGGATAGGCAAACTGGTGCAAAGGGAGGTGTGAAAGTCTAAGAGAGCTTTAACTTTTATAACAAAATATATAATAAACACAAAAATATACAATTTAAATAAATTTTCATTGCATAACATTAAATTGTATTCTATTTTTAGAATTTACCACCACCTATCTCTTCACCTACCAACACCATCGACCTCATTCTAACTTTGATATAAACACGAGATTTTAAAAAAAACATAACAAAAATGAAACTGTGCTGAAATGGATTAATGTATTATGATTGATATGATGTGAAAAAATGTTAATAAAAGGTTGATTGCATAGTTTAGCATTAGCTGCATGGTTGAAAAATATGGTTTTTGAAACTAAACGTTTTTGTTATGTATTGAAAACCCGTTATGTTAGAAATTTGATGATACTATAATACCACTGATTTTCAGGTGCATAGTTTATTTAGTGACCGCTTGATAATCTGCCAGTAACCATTACCATCAAATCAATTACCTCAAATTGTAACGTCCCTCTTAGCTTTAGTGCGTTTCAGCCCTAGTGCAATTGTGTTTTTAAAAAAAATAGTTTCTAGCGTCATTACCTGCTGATGATGGATACATTTTTGACTGGTTACAAGAAAAATTAATTAATAATGAAGATACCGTTGCTGATACAATTAATGCTAGTGTGAATACAAGCAGGGTCGGATTTATAGCATACCTTTTTGCGCCCTATGCCAAAGCACCAAGTTATACGCGCGCACTACCACCCCACTCCCCCGCACTTTTTTTTTCAAAATTGATTATTTATACTAGGCCTAACTATGATGCTGTAATTTCCAATATAATATATAGGCCTAATTATATTACTAATACTCATTACTCACAGTGAACTCCCAAATTTAACACCAATATCATGACTGGCATGACCCCCCCCCCCCTTTTCCCCCCACTAACCCCCAAACAATGTACAAAGTCCAATTCTAAAAAAAAGAGGGGGGGGGGGGGGGTTTCACTGAACACCCAAATTTAACCCCAATTACATGACTGGCATGACCCCCCCCCCCTTTCCCCCCCCTAACCAGCAAAAAAAGTACAAAGTACAATGTTAAAAAAAAGAGGGGGGGGGGGGTGGCTTCCACGACTTAGGAGGGGATAGGCGCCCATGCTGGTGGGCAGCACTAACTTCCACTAAAACCCTATAGCTAAGCCACTGTGCCTATGCGACCCACTTTTGTCTCTATGAAATATTATGCAAATTTAAAAAATGCTTTTATCGTATGTTTTTTTTTCTTTTGGGGGTTGGGGGGGGGCACTGTACTATAGGTTTTTATATGAATTTACTTTCGTGCAAACTAATTATGCTTCCTTTTCCGTAACTTAATTTGGGTTAATACTTTTAATATTCTACTAATTCGATCTGTATTTGTTTGGGAAAAATGTCGGAACCCAGGCCACCGGTGGCTTTACAAGCTTCTGCTGTTACGGCTCCATTTCTAAGCACTAGTGATACCGAAAAAGAAAGTGTAGTTAAATCACACCAGATATTTGAAGCAGTGAAGGCAGGGTGAGTTGTTGCTCCCCCCCTTTACGATCGGAGTATATTGGTCTACGTCTAATAGTAATAGTTTTAGAAGTGAGGTTTGCGATCCCCAGGGCTTGGGCCTCTCCCCTCCTTTTGCCTTTACATTTTACAGTACTTTATTTTTAAGAATGTTTTAGGACTAGCCTATAATTCATTGTATGTTGTCAATAAGTTTCATAATTTTCACATTTCCCCTTAAGACCATATATTAATTGAGGCTCAGTTAGCTCGCCTGCCTAACCATAGTTGAGTAGTATTGAATATTGATCATTTAATTACACTTGTGATTTGAACTTACTGCTCCCGATAATTGATCGATATCAAGCTTTTGTGACTTTAGTTTGGCCCAATAAAGTAGTACCAACGCAGTAGAGCTGTTGTGGTAACAGAAATATAAACAATAGTAAAATAAAATGATAAGTTAAAGACTATCAGTAGCAGTGAAGCTTGCTCAGGCTACTGAACCAGAATATGACATTGTCATGGTCAACAAGCCTAGCCACAAAAATCACATTATAACCAACTCAATATTCAAAATATCATGAAATATAATATCAATATAATGGTGAAATAAAATTTTGCTGTTCTAAACTTAATTTACATTTAATTTTTAGAATATAATTATAATTTAATATAAGTTTAAGGCTAAGGCTATATTTTTTAACTCTCACATATATTTCTAAAAAGCTTTCATCTTCAGTTTATAGTTGCAAAGTCTTTGATTAATTACAATCCAAAAATTGATTTTTTAGAATAAATCTGCTTCTAAACCTAGTTACTAGTAGAGATAAAGCCTGCCACTGTCTGTAGTCATTATAGGCTATTCAAGATCAAGGTTGCCAAATCAATATCAATATAGATAATGTAATAGATAATGAAAAAATCAGACAAATGATTTAAATCTTCACAATTTTATTGACAAACGTATTTTGTAAAGACACATATTTCATATAAATTTGGAACAACAAACAAAATATCCTTGACTTTTTCTTTACTGTACTGAAGTTATAATAATATTTTTGGAACAAATATTTTTTTGTATGACTTTACCAGTTTGGATTTTACAATCTTAAGGTCACAGAATTCTTCGTGTGTTTGTATCAACTAATTAGAAGGAGCACTTTTGTCTTTTTTTATGGCCGTAAAGTATAAATTATGTCAATTAGACCATTATTCTAAAGAGCACAACCAAAACCACCTCATTTTTTTTTTTGCAACCTAGCCTTATAAATATAGATACATGAAGTCATGATTTGATGTTTAAAATTTAATATGTTAGCAAATACCTTTTTTTATAAAATAAAATAGTATGTTGATTAAATATTTACTTGCAAATTGAACTTAACCATTGTGCCATACACTGCAAATAAACATGGATTTCTTAGTTGACTACAGGAGGATAGTTTACATGTCATCTGTGGCGCCCCAATGGTCCAAGGGATAAAGGACATGATGATGAGGATGATGATGATAATTTGATATACCTTAATAATGTAGTGCATAAAAAACTTACTGCATATCAACATAAAATATATAATTTAAAGTGTATTATTACTTTTTCTTATAGTTTGCTTATTCCAGTCCAAACTATTGTTGAACAATGTGGACTACCTGTGTTGTCTATGAGAGATGACAAGGGCCACACACCATCTCATTGGGCATGCTTGGGTGGACACACAGCTATTCTCAGGTCAGCTTATTGCATGCATGAATTTGTATTGAGTATATTAGAAGTAAGTTTACAATTAGCCATTGTGCAAGGTTGACCACTTAAAACCAGTACACATCCACCATTTGCTAATCACCTCACATGACCAACAAAGTAAGCACCCAATCATGAATATATTACTTAGTCACAGATTTTGGTGAAAAACTAGCCCGACACACACTGCTGCTCAGATGACTTTGTGGCTCCTGCACCTGTACTGTCTATTTAATTCCACTTCCAATTAGATATACTAGTTTATTGTGCCCCACTCTGTATTTGTAATAAGAGACCTAAGCAGTCAATATTAAATCTGTTAAAAATAATTTTTGCTTATTGAGAAAAAATATTATGTGAAATAAATACAGGAACATGTTGATAATCTGGACTAATTATAGACTTACCGGATTTTCAAATGCATTTGTTGTAAAAATTGAGGACATGGTTTACCATGTGCAGGGTCATTCAAAGGGATGTGTCTAAATTCATAATTTTTCATCCAACAATATTTGTATTAATATATACTTTTTGGGTGCAGCTCTTGTCTGCCATGACCATAAACATACATTTTTTGTTAGTCTGGATTATTGCCATCTTCAATGTACATATATAATCTGGCTTGCTATGAACTCTTAATAAACCCTTGACAACTGTTAAATATGTACTTTGATTTTTAATTTTTGTGTAGAATGTCTATAAAAGTGTTCTACCAGAACATTTCATCTTTTTCTTTAAAAAAAATTAACCTAATGTTAAAAAATCTGTGGCCTGTGAGGTTTTGCTAGGTACTTATTTTTAGTAAAGTTTAACACATTGCCTCTTGGGATTTGTAGATATATGATAGAGAACAAAGTTCCAATAGATGAGGCTAGTACCAACGAGCTGGGAGCTAAACCAATACACTGGGCCTGCGTCAATGGACATATAGCCATTGTGGACATTCTCACACAGGTAGTAGCTTCAGTTTGGTTATTGAATTTATTAGTTTTGCATTAAACAATCTTTCTAAAAGTTGTTAATATTAATTTAGGAGTATTCAACTTAGAGACCATAGCACATTTTTAATTGTTGTTAGGAACAATATAAATACACAGAGTCTGAGTGAGGGCTGAATGAGGCTCATGTCCTATGCACAGCCGGGGACATAAAAAGTGCTGTGCACTATGTAGACAACCAATGAATACAATGGCCAGGAGAATAACTGCTGTAAAACCATGTACCCAGTACTTGTAAGCTCAACAAATATTAATTTCACAACAATAAAATCAATTTGTTACTTTCAAAAACCTTTCAAACTTGTTGTATCCTAACTTAGGCGGGAGTAGATTTAGATACAACAGATAACAAAAACTGCACCCCCCTCATTGTGGCAGCCCAGTATGGTCAAACCATGCTGGCTGGTTACCTCATGGGCAAAGGTGCCAGGCTGCAACTGACAGATAAAGATGGTGACAATGCTTTACATTGGGCGGCCTTTAAAGGTGAGCATTTTAGAGAATATTAATTATATCAAACTGCTTAGAGATTTTTATTGCCTTAACAAGATAAAACCCAAAATTGTTGAATTCAGTTTATTAAATTTCATGTTCCCTTTTTTTCCCCCTAAAACTTATGGAAAAGTTACTGAATTTATATATGTGTTGCTGGTGTTTTCTACAGTATAATCAGTTGTCTCCATTTGTTTTTCTAGGTTATAATTTCAATAATAGTTAATTGACTGCAGGTACTACTAACCTACTTGGAGTGAAAACTTGCTCTCCTGCCTAAGCAAAGGGGCATTACTCTGTTTAAAAAATTAAAATGTCGTTTTTAATTAAAAAAATAAAATATAAAACATGCAAAGTCATTGTTATTTAAATTTTTATTAAACACAAATATGAAATGAAATTTTATATTCATGATTAAAGATATGGTTATTTAGAGAATAATTATAATATCTGAAGTTTACATTTTCACATGTTATATTCTATCCTTCGTAAGGTCATAATGAACTTATGCGACTGTTAATCTACTCTGGGTTTAACCCTCGACAAAAAGATAACTTTGGACAGACCTCTCTTCACCTTGCATGCATCAATGGAAATTTGACAGCAGTTAAAGAGCTTTGTGAACAGGTAGCTAACTGCTGTCTTTCAACAATTTTAATTTTATTTCTTAAAAATCATGGCTGCTATCATAAATTGAGTTACGTTTGAAAATTAAAATGTATTGACACCAAAAAAAACAATTAAAAACATTTCGCTCAATAACTTATATTACCGGTACCTATAATAATGTCAAGGAAAATGACTGGATGAAAATTGTATTTATACATAAAAAAAAAGTTCCCCAGGGTATATGAAAGAAGCTGAAGCTGTATCACTTAACTAATCGCACGTCATGGGTTGTAGGCTAAAATGTTATATTTTCTTAATACTTCTTGGTACATAAATTTTCTCATCTTGTCCTCACCACAGGATGGTGTTGAGGTTGACATTCCCGACAACAATGGAAAAACACCATTGCAGCTGGCACTGGGCAGGAAACATGATAAGATTGTCAGCTATTTAAAGAAGGAAGTGCAAACAAGAAACAGTATTTTACCTCGAATCGACTGCTGGTTTGTTAACACTTATTTATTTTAGTAGTCAGATTAGTTTGATTTTGTATATTAGCCTATTAAAAATTAAACTTGACAACTATTTAATTTGGAATGCAAAACTTTTTTTAAAAGAATACTTTCTGGTGAATGAAATTTAATCCTGATTTGTAATCATTTTTATTATAAAAAGAAAAAAATTAAAAATTTAAAAAAATGTTTAACTCCTAAAAATTATTATTTATTTTCATCACACCCTTTCATTAATCTTGAGCTAAACAATTAAAACATGTGCTGCGAAGGACTATTTATCATTTAAGTATATTCGTTTGTGCCATAGTATTAAATATCTCCAAAGTAGCAATCCTTTATTTCATGGCGTTCATATTAGTGTTTAATTTTTCCAGCTTATATTAATACAAGTAAAACCAAAAATATAAAATCAAATGCTTAGAATTCCTTTTTTTGTCATGCATACGAGGCGTTATGGAAATTTATAAAAAAAATTACGGACATCCTAAATTTGTCATTGATATTAATGGACAAGATATTTAGTGTAAAATTTTTGATGTTATGGAATGTCCATAAACTTACTAGTGGCTCACAACCCTCCTTTGAGCTGAAGCTAATAAGTTTGTTCAGATATGCAAACAAACAAATTGTTAGCAGCCATAGTGAATATAATGAAAATGTGCCATGTCTGGGGGTGTGAAATTTTGGGAGTTTGCCTCAGCAGCATTTAGTCAAGCTCCACTGCTGCATATCCTAAATCTATTTCATTTTTATTTACTTTACTATTTTAAAATACATCAATGAAAACAGAATTGGGCCCAAATGAAATGATTTTTGTCAATTGTTTGAACTGAAAATCTTAATTATCTGACTTATGTATCTTATTTCATTGCAACATATAAATTTATAAAGTTATCATAACTGATTTGTGTTAAAATTTAATGTTTCAAATTTCTCTTCCTAAATGACAGGGCTATAATTTTTGGACCACCTGGAAACACTAAAGGAGCCCTCCTGTTCTTTTTATTCAATGTTGTTTTATGGGGTTATCCCATGTATATATTTAAGGTAATTTGGAAGCATTTTATATTAATATCAAATATTCCCCTTTTAAAATGAAAACACCAGTCTCTGGCTTGATGAGCGTTTTTAATAATTCAAAACTGATGACAACCCTTTTTTTTGTCTTTGTTTCCGTAGCAGTTTAATGTTCTAAATTGCATATGATCCGCTATGACTTCTTCCTGTCACATTGGTTTAAACCATCAGATGTGCTATAATGACTTCTTCAAGCCTGTGATCTGAAGCCTAAATGTTAAAAATAAACTGATAACAAATCATTTCCAGACAAGTGCACGAGACTTGATTAAATTAAATCGGGGAGTGGGAATAAATATATTTAGCAACAACTCTTTTGATTCAATATTTATGGATTATTAATATCATACCCGGTAACCGCAGCTAGTTAAAAATATCAATGAGTGCTCAATAGGGATTTTCGAAAATGACTCTTAATATAATTTAACACTTTGCTATAAAATTTTTTGTTTTTTAAATTTATTGCAAGGAACATTCATACTATTTACAATCTGTATTTTTATTTTTTACATTGAATTGTCATTAAGCATTAAGAGAAAATTTAATCTACATGTACTGATAATTCTATCTTTGTTTTTTGTATTTCAGTGTCTACCTCTAACTTGGTATGATCTACAGTTTTATCATATATTTTTTATGTTTACAAATGTGCTTATGTGGATTTGTTTATACCATGCCAACACAATAGACCCTGGGTTTTTGCCAAGAAATATTCCAGAATATGATTTAGCCATAAAACAGGTGAGGAGAAATTGATGGTGACATTGAATAATTTAAACTAACCCATAAGTTGCATCTGTTTTAAATGTATGAGACAATATTACAATAACATAAAAAAGTAGATCTAAATAGGTGGTACTCAGTATACTCCTGTGCAAGCATATCAAATACACATGAGGAATTTGAGAAATATTATACCTTGCTTACAATTTGACAGATAAATACTATTGACTATACCTAATGCTAGGAAACTTTCACAAATGTCTTCAGATTATTGTGATGTTTGTCAACTCCTGTATTCTACTGGATTGATTAATTCGTCAAGTTCTTTCACACGTTGAAATCGTCGTATTAATAATATTGAATAAACTCAAGTCCTTTTCATAATAATTATAACTTTAATATCTAAGTATATACTATACACATAAACACATGCATATAGCGCAGCTCGCTATCAGACATAAATAAAATACATCCTACTTCTACAAAGTTCCTTTCAAGACTGCCGCAGGACAAGAACTTACGTTACAATACTGTCTAGACAATACGTCATAATCAGCATAAAATATGTCACAGAATCGAGCGCGGAAAGTGTGTTCACTAACTTGTGAAACTCTTTAAAACACACACAGCACGTAATGAAACATAATAAATAATAATATTCAGTCTCAACAATTATTATTGAACTACCATACTCAAAGTTTTACAATTGTATTCCGCACTTCATAATTACAAATTATATGAAAAATTGTTCTTTTTTAAAAATGAGAATGAGTTGGAAAAATGTAATCCAAAAAGGATAGCTATAAAGAGGGTAATATTTCTTAACAGCATTGTATCTATTTTAAAAAATGTATCTAGCAGTTCCTTTTAAATAAATTTAAAACATAACATTAAATCATTGTTCATTTACTACTTATATACTTTTTCTTATCAATTGCTGAAAATATTTTAATAATACTTATCAATAATTTGATGCCATGAGAAATCTAAAAAATTTCAAGTTTGAGAAATTAAACATCATGAAATGTTGAATAGGACTAACATGTAATTATATCCATTTTATTTATACATTTTGATATATAGATATTCTTTCATTGATGAAACATCTTTTCTTTATCCTTATTATTCTTTCTAGGGTTATGGGTCTTTTAAATAAGTAGAATTAAATAAAATGGCTGTAAAGCTTGTAGTAATCCCCCAGACTTAACAAACATAAAACTTTTCCCTTCTAGGTTGCCCATTTTGATGAGTGGAAGCAGGGGCAGAATCCACTATCTAGGTTATGCCACACGTGTCGTACAGTGAAGCCATTGAGAGCCAAGCACTGTCGTGTGTGTAATCGTTGTGTGAAAGAGTTTGACCACCATTGTCCTTACATTCACAATTGTGTGGGATACTACAATAGGTGAGTTCATACGCCATTATTATGAACTTGTTTAATGTGTAGCATGTGACATGAATACTAAGCAAAACAATGATTCTGTTAATATTTTGTAATAAATGTTTGTAAAAATATTTCATTGGGAAAATATGAAACAGAGGAAGAATCTTAAGAACTTTAAAGTTTCTTAGTAAAAAAAAATTATATTCATTTGATGGTAACATAGTAATATACAAAAGTTATTTCAAAAGGAATAAATAAAAGTTGTTCACAGTGTTCAAGTTACAAAAACTGAAATAGTATTTTTAAAGTACCACATCATGTTTTTTTTCATTTCAAACTTATAGTTTATTGCTTGTGCTGGAGCATGATATTAACTTCTTTTTAAAATAATAATAAAAACCTTGGCAGACATAGAATTTCTAGTTCCAAGTTAGTGCGATAAAAGATAGATTTTTTATTGAAAATTACAAATATGTGTTTAACTTAATGTTGTAACAGTATGTCTGACCAGATATATGCATAAAAAATATAATGTTTATATGGTGATAATTTGCATGATATTTGTTGGGTACTGCATGGTAGAACATTTTAAGTTGTTAAACAACAAAAGTTAGCCTTTACCCCATACAAATTTGGCTGGTTCGCAAAAGGGAGATTTTATATCTAAAATTGGGAATTTTAAAGCCTTAAAATTATTTTTTTTGAATTTTTCTACCCTTTTTCTGTAGTGAAATTGTAACTTTAACCTTTGCACCCGCTTTTTGTGTGGCTTGTTTGCTTTCGTCAACATTTTACTTAGAGGCTTAGAGTAATGTAGTTTGTACTTTGCTTTAATTTGCCTATTTTAGCTAGACTCCCAATTCTTTAAAAAAAATCATCTTTTCTAAATTTATAATTCACCCTTTCAATTAGATATTATCGATGGCTTAAAAAATATATCATTCGAGTATAAAGTGATTTTTGTTATGCTACATACCATTATGCAAGCCACAGTTCTTGTAATGTTTTTCTAGCAGCAGTATCTATAAAAAAAAATATTGTCACTACATCAATAGAAAGGTAAACTTCTGTTCATCCTGCATATTATGCTTGTCGATCCAAAGTTTTGATGCACGATGTCGTTCTGTTTTGTTTTTTTCATAGCTCATTGAAGAGCAATAACCAAAGCATATCATTTTGCCTAATCTGCAAAGGCTGCAATATTAACCAAAATAATTTTATCAGACTTAATTTGTACTTGCTGAGAAAAGATATAAGGTACAAGTACTTAATTTTTTGGCTGGAAACAAATAAATGTAAAAGTAAGAGGATACAAGTTTTAAATGAATTTTAAAATAATCCCAGATGAAGTTTTTGAGTTTACCTTCACACCTATACTTTTCCTCGGTTAATGAATGTGTCCTGTTGTAAAACATCTTTTTCAGTACCGGTACTCAAATGGTCATGCTTTGCCTCTTTGTACCAAAGTCTTTGTTTCCTCTTGCTTGCACACTTAAGCTATGTAAAATCTTCATTTTTACATATTTCTACAATTTTTCCTGTAAATGGTAAATGGGCATTTAATATCAACTGCTATTATATTAAGTTAATGATTCCTTAAAAATGGCTAATTTATCACATCTTCTCATAATCAAAGTTAGTTTAGGAAAGAAATTTAAAAGTCAATGAATTCCTTGTATTAGGTTTATATTGAGGCCACTATTTAACATAATGGCAATCCTTTGTAACTGACCCACTTCTGTGTCCATTGTTTGTAGGATGTGGTTCTTTGCATTCCTGGTGACATTGTCAGTGTTGGCCATCCTTTCAGACTACTTCTGTTATTACATTCTCAACTACATTCACTGGGACTGGTTGGTTGTCATTGGTGGTGTCGAGCTTGTCATTGCTTCGTTCTTGATTGGTGTAGTGCTCAACATGTCGGTAAGAATATATTGAAAGTCATTGTCTAGTTCAGATATGTGCTCATGTCCTCCCCCCACCCTGAGAAGACGGAAAGAAATGGTAGGTTGTACATGTTGCGTTTATGTTGAGATTTTTTGTGTAACATTGCAAAGTATTGGCATTTATTACCATATTTGCCAGCATATAGGACACACTTTTCCCCCCTCAAAATTTGTCTAAATATGGGGTGTGTCTTATGCGAGGAAAATGTAGAACTTTATTTTCATGTATGTCAATGTGTTCTATACGTTGGCAAATGCGGTAATTGAAATTAAGGTAAGTACATAGACATTCAAGATAAACAAGGATTGTATTTCGTGAACATAAGCTATTGTCATTGTTATGAATTACATTAGTGGTTTTTTCTTTATATAAATCAAGAATATTCATGTTAAAAAATGTTTGCAGAGAGATTTCATGTGTTAAAAAGCATTTCCAGTGCATTTTAAAAATTCTTCCATTTAGCATTCCTCAGTTTTCACCTATTTATAAGATAGATGCGTGCAAATTTAAATATGTTCGACATAGTATGTATCATTTACAATGTCTATTAAATTCATTATCTGGTGTGCCATTTTTTCCATTTTTATTCTAGATTCCTTGTTTGAATCAAACACTTAGTTTTTTTAAATTAATTTATTTGTTATTCAAAATTTTTTTAAATATTAACACATTTGTGTATCACATTAAACCATTTCTCAGTTACCTTTTCCAATTATAAAGGAATAACCTCATGTTTTTATAACAGGAACATAATCCAAAATATCATGTAAACTTAATTTCAACCAATACAAAAAATATCTATGTTGGTCTCACTAACTAAATTCAGGGGCTTAGGTAGAAAATGTTATTTGCCAGATTCAAATTTATTTATTTTTCCTTTTGGCATTCACAGCCTTATCACATTGCTTATATTTTATTATATAAATCTGTTTGCACTGATCAAACAGAACATCACATGTTGTGAAATATATTATGTACACTAGGTTTTGTTAGTGTTTTTATTTGAAGTGTGCTGTGTGCATTAATCTATTTCCCACACTCAGTGTTAATATTTATATTAATATCTTCATTTATACCTTTTTTAAAAAAAAATCTTTTTCTCACATCACACAAGTTTATTTTGGTGTTCAGTCCAGTGTCCATACAGATTATCACCTAGTACATTACAACTTTGAATGATGTAAAACTATACCCCCCTGTTCTCATTTTCCTACTATTGGGCCCAAGATATAACACGTGTGACATTATACAACCTAACACCTGCATTTATTTGTACTGGTAGATCAATGTTACTATCTTGACATAGCTCCATCATATTAACCCACTCCTGGCTAGCCTAGTAAACTCTCTGATATGCCCTTAGTTTAGGGACATGGGCCCAATTGGAAATGAACATGTTTATTAAACAAATAAAATATTAAAGAAACCTCAAGAGTTTTAAAATCCCTGCTGAACTCACAATAATAAAGGAAGATAAAAACATTTGAATTTCTCTTTATGAAAGAGGGTGACTTAATTGCAAAAACAGCTGTAAACTTCAGTAGTTGTGATGCATGGAAGTAAGGAAGATAGACTGGAGTGGGTTAAATATTCATTGATTGCTAATTTATTTACTAATATTGTTTTAATTAACCACTCACTAAGATCAGTGGAACCCAGCAAGTATCATGCAGCTGACATCAAACTATGAAAAATCCATGACCTTATCTAGGAGTTTCCAAACCATTTTAAGTGCAGGACCAGATGGAATATAATAAAAAAAAAAAATTTTCTTGCGGGGGGGGGAGGGGGGGGGATGGGAATAGTTAATGATTCATAGGTTAAAACAGGGATTCTTAACCTTTGGTCCACAGACTCCTAGAGTGTGTGCAAAGGTTTCATGGTTTGTGAGCCATTTTTCCCATGTAGTTTTATTATAAGCAATAAAAAATAAAAAAAATTAAGAAGGGGGTCCATGACTTTCATCATGCTGGCAAAGATGTCAAAGGAATAAACAAAAGTTAAGAACCCCTGGGTTAAAAAAAAATTACATTATAGATCAGACTTTGTCATCCTTCTTTCCAATTTTTTTAAATTTTCTATGTTAAGTTAATTATGATACATTATTTTATTCCTATATACACATTTCTCCATACCTAAGGGTTAATATCAATGGCTTGCCTATAAAACAGTTTGGAGACCCCCTGACTTATGAAAATAAAAGGTTCTAATTCTTGCCCAATTGCAGGGTGTCTTTTGTTGGAGTTTGTGTGACCATGAGTTCAATGGGTGTCCAGACTTTCCACTTTTCCTACTCTGTGCTGTCCCTAGAAGGAATGTCTTGGTATCAGATTGACTATTTACTAGGGTTGTCACTATTAGCCTTCTTCTCCTTTGTTGCATGCTGTATAGCACAATCCTCTGTGAGTATATTAAAAAAAAACAACTTCTATAACCAACAAAATTGTATTCTTGAGAAAGGCAACAAGCACACACTTCTAAAGAGAAATTATCAGGTAAGGACAGTGCAGAACATGAACGTTAATTGTTAAGAATGTGAAAATCTGAAAGATGCATTTATTAAGTCTTACACTAACAAATTTTGGACAGGGACTGTCCTCACACCTTTTATTATGATAATTATCCTCATTAATTAATCTCCTTTTTTAATTTGTCATATTTGAAGGTCTTTAAAAAATTTTTTTTTCCTCATAAATTTTGCAGTGTTTGTAAATGGCTTGTAAGTTTATGTCAGGAAATATCTGTAAAATCTCATAAAATGTTCCATTTGGCATGTTGTTGCCTCACATCCACCTCACTGAAGACACAACTAATGTTAAATAGCAGTTTTTTAGTTTTCCACTATTTATATTAAAAAAAATAGCCAAATTGTTACTGTTATTAGTGTTATGTGTCCAAATCTCAGGGGGCTGTTATTGTTGAAGGCATTTTTCTTGCCTGAGTTTGTATATCATTTCACAGCTTTTACCATGTAACCAAACATTGTTTAGATTCTGAAACATTAATCTGATGGTTTAGGTTGTCAAATAAATAGTGTCCATGCTTTTTTTAAAGTTGTGATATACTGCCTTTTTTTTTTGTTGCTTTTGTTTGGTCACTATTTTAAATAAATGACCTGAACCTAATAACTTAGATTTAGTTAATTATAATCTGGCTTTTGTGTCTTATTTCGCACTTAGTAACTTTTAAAAAAAAGTAGTGATACCTTTATATTGTTGTGTTTCAAGTCAGTAATGGAATAAAAAATGTGATCCTATGCAGTACTCGGCAAATTCAGGTTTGAAATAACCTAGCATCATGAACAAGTATTCTATTAGCTTAAAAAGGCCAGTGGGTCTCATGTTATTAAATCTAGTGATTTGTGGCCCAATTTCAGGGTCTCATTTATTGTATTTGTGCTGACTGTAAACTTAAATGGACTGGTAGAGTTTCGGTTCCTTTATGAAATGGCTAAGCTGGAAGAGTTTGCTCTGAGGTATGACTACATCCTGGCCCTATTGATGCTGTTAGGCTACGGTGTCATTGCTGCCAGTATTCTGGGCGTAACGGTAAGTTTTAATAGAGCTATTTGTGCATTTATTTATTTAAAAAAAATTAAAATTTGGTTAAAATGATGGTTTTACGGTTGTAAAAATAATACTTATATTTTAAATAATTAGAGGATCTCTCAACATCGGCTGTGACATCTTATCGCAAGCATTTTATGTTGACAATTTTACAGCATAGTAGAATATTGCATCTGTTATTTTTTTACAAAGTCTTTAATTATGTAATTATATTATCCCTTTAATTATTTGTTTAACATCTCATTTTGTACCATATTGATGGCTGTTAAATTGCAGATGTTTTAAAATTATTTTAGATTATATTACACTGTACAGATTTATTTAAAGCTACCAAAATATGACCCTATAAAAAGCATTGTACCGTTTTCCCCACAATTTTACCATTATTGTATTTATCCTTGCTCCAAGTCCCAAACACTTAAATTTAATGTTGTGTATGCACAACCTTCCTAATAAATATTTAATTTTTATTTTCAAATTAATGGGCTTGTATGGGGATTGAACTTCCTCTATATATTAAGGGCCCATATAATTTTTTGATCATTCTGGCTCCTATGTAATGTAGAGGGGATTTGCCATGTTTCTGTGCCTGGTATTGAAGATGATATTTCACTGGTTGTAAGGGCTACTCAGCGAGGGTATTATGAACTGGGGGTTGAGAGGCCTGAGTGTTGTCGCCTCAAGTGTCTATATCTTCATTATATTTTGCTAACCAGCAGGCATAAAGTACAGATTGAAATAGATGTACACTGGATATGTCTTTTTATATATGCAAGACGATAAGTGGTCATTCCCATTTGACTTTTGCTTCTGCCTATTAATTTATTAAATTTCCAAACAGCTAATGCGAGGATTTTACCAAACTTTGATTGATTAAAAATGTTCCAAAATTCAGCACTGTAGAATTTCGGGAAGATATAAGGAGAATAATAGGATCATTAAAAAGATATAAACAAAAATCAAATTCAAAATGTTAATTAATAAAAGTGGCAAATAATGATATTTTCTTTAATGTTACTTAAGATTTCAAAATAGCTAAATCTATTTTAGTGCATGTATTAAATATTTTTTTAAATGTCAGATTAAAAAAAATATATAGGACAATAATGTCATGATCAAACCGTGCCAATTTTGTTTTGCTATTTTCTTTTACTAGAACCTCTTAAATCATGTAAATACTTTTAGGCAAGTGACAATACGTAGGTGTACATGGATATACATAAAAGGCTATTTGTTCCATTGTGTTGAACTTTTAAGCCTCCCTATTATAGCTGCATCATTTTATCCCCTTCCTACTTATCAACAGATTCATGGTGCCATCAAGAACCTTACTTTAAATGAGCTCATCAATCGAAAGCGTTACCTGTATTTAAAGAACAAGAACGGACAATTTTTTAATCCATATGACAAAGGAGCTGTTGAAAACCTTACAGAATTCTTCCACCTGCATACATTAGATGGTTTTAGCTACTTTCCTAACCTCCAGAACTTGAATTCTTTATCATCAAAAGCTCACGTTGTTTAAAGATAGCAAGTAAAATATTTGACTGCCAAGAACTCTTGATTTTTTTAAATTTAATTTTATTTTAGTGTTATAAAAACATTCCATAGAGGCAGTTTTCTGTTAACGAAGGTGTTCGTTATCTTTTTTATTGTTGTTATACTAAAAACCGTCCTAATTTGCACTTTTTGCATATATAATGTGATAATACTATATGTTAGCAGTCATTTTTACATATTAAATATATTTGATAGAGTATCGAATATGTATGTTTCATTATTGAGATTCACTACAAATGTAAAATATAGTTAATTCTACAATTGTTAATCCTTAAATTTGATATAAAAATAAAGCAAAATATTTGTATAACATCTGAAAATCGTAAGGTTCCTTTTATAGCAATTATTTCTAACTGAAAATTTAATTTTCCCATCATTGATACTGAAATCTCATTAAATTATCTACTTTTTAATCTTTTTGAGTGCAACAAGATTTTATTATTCAATTTTGAAATGCCCATTTTAAATTTTAATACGAAAAGCTTGTAAGGTTTTAAACCAAAATTTGACATTTTTCAAAGTTCACATCCAATACAGATTTTTGAAACTCAACTATATTGTTTCAAGATCACCTTTTTTGGTTTTAAAGAAATGAGATATAAGAAAAAATGTGTTTTCTTGATGAGATAATGAAAAATGTATATACCTTTTTATGTTACGCTAACAGACTGTCCTTCATTTATATTTTTCCTTCTGCAATTATTATTTCATTGTTAAATAATTGTGATATGTAGTTATATTTTTGTAATTGAGGTTTTCTTTGAACAAATTCACTTTTATTGCATATATTTAGCACTGTGATTTGTCCTCTTGCATCATAACTTTTTAATTCTATCTGGCTGTACCAAATTCAATAAGTTGACCATATTAAGTTGAATTAATTTCTTGAGCCGATGATACTGGTAACACAATCAAAACACAGGTTGGTATGATATATTTATTGGTAGATTAGCATTTTGTACCTGTTTCCTTGGTTCCTAGTATAAGATTACAGAATCTCAAAGGTAATTTTTTTCATATTTATTTCTTAGACCACATCATTTCAATACAATTACATTAATACATTTTAAGCTTTAATTCAGTAACTGGCCACTGGCAATTAGTGCTATTCCTAACCTCCATTGAAATGAAGGGTTGATTTTTCCATTTTAAATTGATTCCTTAATTACCTTAAGTAAAATATATAACTAATATTAATTCTTTAATTCAGTTCTTTTAATGTTCTTTTAAATTGAAACTGATAGAATTTTAAGTGCAGCACAATTTTAAAATCACCCATCATAACGCCATCTGTCTGTGTCTTGTAGATATTTCATGCAGCTCGAAATCTGACCACCAACGAAAGGATCAACTACAAGCGTTATGACTACTTGAAAGATGGGAAAGGTTCATACCACAATCCATTTGACAGGGGTTTCAAGAATAACTTCTTGGAGTTCTTTCATCTCCGTCCAGGTCTGAGAGAGGATGAGGTTCAGTTGTTAGGTGTTCATACTGTGTGACACATGCAGGTGTGAGACAATGGTGAGAGAGGTATAAAAGATTGGTGGATGTAGCAAAATGATGAGTTAGAGGTTGGAGATTGAAGTTATACAGTCACAGCACAAATGTGAGGCTGGGGTATGTTTCAAAAAGAAGCATAAAGGTGTGGCTGAAATGGACATTTTTAATAATTCATTCTTGTGAGAATCTTGTATATGTTGTAATGATTTCAGATGTATAATTTACAAATATATTTATATAAAGTTAGTATACATGTTACAAGCCAGTTATTTTTATAAAAACAAAATAGCATACCCCAAATTTGACATAATTTGGGAATTTATTTGATAAAAGTAGCATGATTTATTCGACAGCAAGTACCCTGGATAGCTGGATATTGTCAACACTGGATATCGTGATGTCGTAAGCTTAATATCAAAAGTTTTTTTAAAAACTTTCAGCTACAGCATCAGGGCTTTTGGCTGGCTTGTTTGTAACATTTGTATATTTATTTATTTATAAAGGAAAAAATAGAGTGCATAAAAGAAAACCAACCAAAATTTATTTATATAAGGAAGAAAGCTCAACAATGTCATCTTTGAACCCATTATAATGATTAGTGCAAGTCTCTGCAAATGTTATGTCCATGGGCATCTTGCTGTCTTAAAATAACACAAAGACAAGTGATAAGCACAGAATAAAAAAAAAATCTTGAGAGTTCCTGGGAATGGTTTAAGTTTTAGATTTTCAAAAACACTAAATATGCTCTGTTTAAAGTGTATGTATGTGTAAATTGCAAATCTGCATGCATGAAACATAATTTTTTCTCACCAGAGCACTTATGGTACACAATGTCAGATATTTTAAAGTTTCTGTCCCCTCAAAAATTATGAGTCCAAATGCAGATGTTTTTAGAATTTAAAAACCTGTGTACTGGCAACTAGTTTATGCTATAACTTGCTGGAGGACAAATAATCGGCAGTGAATGCAGCCTTAATATCTATAATGAAATAATTGGAGTGCCCCCCCCCTCCCCCTTTACCCTCTCTCTATAAATACAATTTTCAATAACAATTTCAAAGGGTGCATGGGTATTAAAAAACAAATTTATTCATCTGTAGGAGCTAGAGTGTAGCCTTAATTTCCTTATTTATTCTTGCATAAATTTTAACAGGGAACACTGCCAAGTTGGGAGTGAGATCTCGTCTGTCCTTTGGCTTGTTAAATATTAAAATATTTTGCATTGGTCATCATATTTATTTTTGAATGTGCTTAAATTTTTTTTCTAGTGCTGCGAAAAGAAGTGCACAATAATTTTCTGTGATGATGTGTGTTTGAATTCTAAACAAAATGCCACTAACCACCTGCTGGGTCAAATGTGATGGTATTGAACTATTTTCCTTCAATAGAAGACACAGTTGTTGGCATATTCATTTAATTTTAGTATTTTATTTTTAAACCAGCCAAGGATCAGTGGGGCAAACGGGGCAAGGACAGTAGGACAGCCCCCCCCCCCTTGGAAATAACATGTTTCCTATGGTGGCTGGTTGATAATCTTTTTTTTAAAGCTCATTTTAGTTTTTACAAGATGTGTGACAAAAAATATTATTAACTGCTGGTTTGGGATGAAGCTGTTGCTGCAGTCGATTAGGATTTAAAAAAAATAAAGGCTTAAAGTTTGAGATGATTCTATGATTCTGTTACAGATAGCAAGCAGGTTGACGTAGGTTACATATAGCAGTAGGCATTTTTACTGAATTTTTTCGTATACATGTATGGCTGCTCTGGATGTAAATGAGAACTTTGAGATCACATATAAAGATTGTAATTGTAAGCATATGCACATCTTGAAAACTTTGTTTTTTTGCACTTTCATTTACTTTTGATAGATGTGAACACCGTGATTGTCTGTTTTGGGAGGGGATCATTTTTCTACTGCTGTCGAGCCATATTGAAACCTTACCACATTTTGTATAAGTTTTCAACCACTGAATGGTTTATTGTTTACATCTGTTTTGACCTGATGATGTTGTTTTTTTTTAATATATATATATACTTATAAACAATCAATGAATCAAACAATCAACTTTCTGCATAATTTACATTGACTTCCTGATGTAACTTGTTGATACTATTCTTCCTAAGATTGACAAATTGTTATGTGTTGTACTGTACAGGAAGTTCATACCCATACTTCAGGGCATTCTCTAAAGAAATTTGTGTTATTTATTTTACACTTAAACATTTTTTTTCCATACTTCCTTGGGTTAATAACTCAAGGGCTATTCAGTACTCAAGGGTTATGAAGTACCCAAGGGTTATGAAGTACCCAAGGGTTATTAAGTACCCAATTCAGCTCAGCCATTGGAATTTATTAATCATTAATGGTGTTAGTTCATTCTTTGAAGCTAAAACCTGATTAAAAAGGGCTAGTAGGTTCTTTTATCTCTGTATATTTTTTTGCCATCCTCATTGGATCACATCAAGGACTAGGACTAGGAAACTTTTGTACTGTACAACAAAAAAATAAAGAAGCAGTGAATACAATATTAACTGAACACTAATGGAATCATGTTATGGCACTGGTTTTGTTGTGTAGCTGACATGATAATATCATCCTTTAAACCAGCGGTTCTCAACCTGTGGGTCGCGACCCCTTTATATACTCTGCATTTATGAAGTAGCAACCATAATAATTTTGTGGTTGTGTATTAAAGGGTCGCAGCATTAGGAAGGTTGAGAACCACTGCATTAAACCATCTTTCTCCAGAATTGTCTACTTAACTCTAATTAAATTAGTTGAAACTTATTAGAAAGTTAGATTCAGAATATTATTTCAGCACAATAGAATTCCTTTTAACTTAAACCCACAGAGGTTGTAGCCTACCATTTTAATGTTGTTTGTTATTTTCTTTTTTTTTAAATTTTTTATATATTTTTTTCTGGGGGGTGTAATATTTGAAAAAAAATTAAAATCTGATACTAGCGCTATGTAATAGTTTTATTACTGGTACTTCTAGTGCTGATAAAATGGAAAGGGAACCTTCTATTTTATTGTAATAAAATAAATTTGAGCTTTGATAATCAAATAATAAAGTGTTCTATTTTTTCCAATATTTTTAATTCTCTTATTGTAATCTAATTAAGTTTCCCCAGCTATTCTCTTACTGTAATCTGGTTATAATTAAACAACCCTTCAAAACAGAGTTTTTCATATAAATCCTTTATATGCATCTTTTATTATTTTATATTTATTAATACTCTAATGTCCCACCCCTTACTTTTACACCCGAGATTTATTCCACCAACACAAGAATATATTACGTACCAAAAGCACTTGTGATATATATATAAGTATAAAAATGAGCTATACTGACGTAACTCCAAAGAGCAGAAAAGATTTAAGTACATTCTGATTCCTAAAAACAATCATAGTTATTTTCTATTATTTTACGGAAATCAAATAAATTTAAATGTTTTAAAATCCGCTTTTATTTTAGTAAAAGTTTAAGTGTTATTATTATAAATTACAAATACATTTAAGGTATCAAATAAGGAACTATTTTAAGCATTTTATATGCGTTTGAAAGTTATGAAAAAATAAAAAAATCATGATCAAAGAATTACACTGTAATCACATTTATCGGGAAAATCTAAACATCATTAGTTTCCAGTGCGTTGTTAATATTGCGAAATAAAAATAAAATTAATTTGTTCTAAATAATCATAATAACGCCATAGCGCGAATAGCCTATTTCGCCAAAACTCTTAGGTTTCTTTAAATTTCATAACCGTGCGTGACAAAACTGATAATGTCATTGTATTTTCCCTTATAAAAAGTAAAATTAATAAATACAATTGATTGTTTTTTAAATTGTTAATAACAAACGCACACATTTTAGCTTTGTATATTTTAACATTTAAAAAGTTTTGACTTTTTTAATTCCAAAAATATACTTTTATTAAAATTATAAAGTAATAAAAACTAAACTTTAAATATAATTCTAAAAAGAAAATGCGGTTTAGTTCAAGCAGTGCAGCGCAACTCCATAGCCAATAGCATTCACTTCACTAATCCACTTATAACTCATACAAAAAAGAACGAACCATATGAAGTGCAAATGAGGAGTCCAATTGCAAACCCTGCGAAGTCGATTTTTTGAAAAAAATGAGTTAGTCCCCTTGGTTCATCTATGAAGTGCTGTTTCACAATATTCTACTAGTTTTTAAAATCAAAACCCGCTAAGTTCGCTTATTTCGCTATTTAAAAACGGAATGGCTATAGGTCCCCGGGTACCTATAGTAGCAATTGGCTATTCGGATCCGGCTGGTCACGTGAGGGCTTTAGATATTTGGTTGGTCACGTGATAGTTATGACGGATACTTCCTGTTGGTTCGCCATCTTAAAGAATGAAATAGTGAAACGAGGTATGTGGAAGCTTGAAATAAGGTAACAGGACAAAAAACAAGGACGTTTCGGCATAAAGCCTTCATCAGCCAACAATAGAAATGAAAATACAACAAAGAAAAGAACACAGTAGAAAACTCAAGCAGTATTCATTCGTCTCTCCGGAAGTGGGAAAACAGGAAGCGAGAGCTTTTACATAGCTTGAAATTGAAAGCAGTCCCTTCATTTATTTATTCTTCGCCATCTTAGACTACTTAGAGCCATTATTATCAATCGAGAAATGTGCCATACTTTGAAGAATTTCATGTACCGTTGAAGAAACACGAAGAACAAAAGCAAGTAAGAATACGTTTATGTTAATAATTTTATTGTATTTTTAAATTCTAGTTTAAATATTGTTCTATAATCATTAACATGACATCAATCAAGATCAAAGGTTTTTTTTTTTTTTGGCGGCAAATCGGCTACTGTCTTATCTGTAATTGTAATGAAAAATTTGGCTGCGACTATTCGGACCCGGTATCAGAAGTGGGTACTTCAATTTTAATTCACCTCAAAAATTATTATTCACTTTTCCCATAAAACAAATGTTCTTTTGAATAAAAAAAAATGGCCAAAAACAATTCGGAGAGATCAACCCGCGGCCGCCATCTTGGTTATCGTGACCCACGAACTTAAGTCCTAAATTATGTAGCCCTAAACTAACATGAACCCTAAATGTATCCCTAAACCTAACATTAGATACTTTGGTCAAAAATGTAAACATTTTTTAAAAATCAACCAATGGCACAGTTGAATAGAGCTAATTTTAAACAGAATTATAACACCAAAATCATATTTTTAGCTGTTGTAGTTTTAAAGTTATGAATTTTTAAAGTACGACTTGGTTTGTCATTTTTTAACATGGACTGCATCTCCACATTCTGTGACCTCATTCCACTGATCGCGTCATGCGCAATGCCTATATAGTTTATATAAGGCAACGCATTCCCTATCGCTAAAATACTGTTTAGGGTCGACTTATTTTAAACTTTCAACTTTGGCACATGAATAATTAATAAAAGCTTTCCCTGACCAATGGTTTAATAGCTTTTGCACACGGCAAACTCTTATGAATG